TTCACGAGCTCCAATCAAGTTTTGCAGCCAACCCTATCGATGATGCTGGGTCGCTCGTTCTGGCGTCAATCACCGGCCTTTCTGCAACATTCGGAAATGCTGCACTTGATTCATCCTTGGGCGCCCCGGTTGGTCCGACCTCGTTAGATGTGGGATCCAATGGTCAAATGTTAGATGTCAAAGTGGACGTTCGGATGGATGAACAAGGCAATCAAGGGGGCTTGGCCGAGGTATCAGAACCCCATGAAGGTCAGTCGTGTGATGCATATAATGCAGTGGGACCCTTGTTGATTGATTATTTTCTCATCTGGTAAGCAGAGGCGCCAGGCACAGAGTTCAAAACAGGCAACCCCGCCATTTGGGCTGATGGGGACATTCAAAAAGACCCCACAACAGTGGTGTTGACACGTGCAGAGGTTGACAAGTTTGACTACTCCATCGGAGGTGAGTGGAGCTCCGGAATGGCTTCAATATATGATTGGGCTGAGACTGACATGCTTGCAATCTTTCAACAGCTCCTATGGATGATCCCCCACTGTACTGCTTCACTGATTCAGCAGCCTTGAGAGAATTTGCTCAAAGGTGGGCAAGGTCTCATGGGTACAACGTCCCAACAGGAAAATCACATAGAGGGAAAAATGTATATTTGGGTTGTTCATTGGCCGGGGAGGACCGGAGGCCAGCCGGCGTGGCGAGGGAACGAGAGTCCCGCAATCGTAAGATCGGTTGTCTGTACCGTTTATCTGGCCATCACTCAAATGCGGCAGAGTTCCCTAACGCTACCTGGGAACTACGGGCTTCACGTTCACCTCACAACCATGGCCCAATCAATGTGAAATGTGAGACCGTGCACAAAAGGCTGGCTCCAGAAGTGCAGGAGGAGGTCAATCGTCTACACTCGCTTGGTCTGAAACCTCAGGCAATTGCTCAGATGCTCAACAAGTCAAACGGGGAATTTGTGTCACTTCGAACGATCTACAATACAACTGCCGCGGAAAGAAGGGCCAAGATTTCTGGTGAGGCTCCAATCCAATTCTTGCTCCGTACGGTCCGAAGTTCGAACTGGGAACATGACACAGCCTATGACGCAAAAGGTCAACTTCTATACCTATGGTTTGCTCATCCGGAGGCACTGAGGCTCGCCCGGAGGTTCCATCACGTCGTTCTGATGGATTGCACGTACAAGACGAATGTGACCAACTATCCCCTCTTGCACATTGTGGGACAATCTGCGACCAACATGACGTTTTCGATTGCGTTCTGCTTTATGCGGAATGAGAATAATGAGGCGTATGCATGGGCATTGAATAAGCTGTCGTGAGTGCTCTCTTGTTTTTTCCAAGTCCAAGGTAAGGGCTAATGAGGTCACTATGTAGTGGTGTTTGGGCCCCTCAAAGGAGCCCACAGGTGTTTGTCACAGATCGGGAGAAGGCCCTCAGGAAAGCAATCTCCGTACACTTCCCAGACGCCATAAACAACGTATGCTTGTGGCATATCGACCAAAACATCCGGGCAAATTGCCAGCGGTCATTCCTAAAAGACCAGGCCGAATGGAACGTCTTCAAGTCAAAATGGAACGATGTACAGTACTCCAAGGACGAGGCAACGTATGACGCTGCTTGGGCTCGGCTTGTGGAATATCTTGGCGAGGCGCGTGCGGTTGTTGTTGAGTATCTCATGGATAATGTCTTGCCGGATCGATTTTATTTCATGACCCCGTGGGTTTCTCAGACCCCAAACTTGGGTAATCAAACTACCGCTCGTGGGGAATCGGCACACAGCTGGCTCAAGGGTCACCTGAACAGCCATAAGGCGGACATGGCAATTGTATTCGAAAGAATAGCCGACACGGTTAGCGAGCAGGTGAGAAGGAACGTGGTCAACTTGGAGAACCAGGAGGTTTCCTCTTTGTCTGGAATTGTGCCACCTTTCAAGCATCTCCATGCATGTTTATCGATCCATGCACTACATCTGGCGAATGCTCAATATAAAATATGGAAGGAGAAGGCGTGTGCAAAGGCTGGGGGCGCAGATGACTCGGAGTGTACTGGGAGCTACAAGGCGAGCATGGGCATTCCATGCTGGCACATGCTGGCTGAGATCTTGGAGAGGGGCGATGAAGTGCAACTGTCTGACTTCCACCCTCAGTGGAGCTTGACTTACAACCCAGATAATCCGGTAGGTGTTATTTTCTGTCTTGTAAGAAGTACTGTTACTGAGCATATGTGTTGATTTTGGCCACCCCCCATTAACAGGAGGAAGAAGAAAAATATGACTTCAATAAGGATTATGATGAGACCCTGAAAGCGGAAATATTGGCGCTCCACGGCCCTCTGACTTTGCCCGGACTGATGAAAACGTTTAGACAGGTCTTGTATAACACACATGTTGTCCCAATTGCGCCTGATATTGAGCCAGTACGCAAGTCAACAAGGAAGGCTTCCAAGAAACGCAAGAAACTCGGACGAGGCCAAGTGGCCAAACGTGATCCAATATACGCCGAGGTGGTTGACGAGGAAATTGACAAGGCCCAAAAAACCAAGAAGAAAGCTACGAGGAAACTTGCTGCTCACGACAAGCTGAAGAGGGCAAGGGCTCTTCAGCTGGGTCGGAAACCAAGGGTCAAACGCACGGATGGCTCTGATGCAAGGGCTCCACCTACTATTCTCGGGAAAAGGAAACAAGCAGTCAGCTTGTCCCCTTCAGGGAACGATGGGGCGAAAGGCCCACCAGGTGCTGCAGATGGCTCTGAGGGCAATAACACATCGTTGGATTCCTCTGAAGTCTCTGAAGAGGAGTCTGATGAGGAGCTAGCAACTGCGGATGAATATGAGGAGTCCACATGCGCAGATGGCGAGGGTGATGTCAACATGACGCCCTCAGGCGAGGGCCTAGATACCCCTCTGGTATGTCTGATTTTCTGCCTGTTTGTTTGAATGATCCGACATTGGCTGACACATATGCCTTCCCCACGGAAACACCTCTCCTAATTGCAAGGTCGCCAAAACTGATGATCCGCAGGGGAGCATTGGTTCAATAACTACGGTGCCCGGGTTACTTCATGATTTTCATGTGGGTATATATTTCGTTTTGCAAATGAGTGATCTGCTGAAACGTGCCCAGTTGACACTGGCAGAACCTGTTGATTTACACAGTTACCTGCTCCTTCAGTCTCAACCGGCCAGACTGAGGAGGAGCAACCCAATATTGCCCAGGCTGAGGGGGAGAATCCAAGTGTAAGCCTCATCTGCTGTTTCACCATCAGGCCATCCGCGATTACTCATATGTCTTTGGGATGCAACCAGGGAAGTGCCCCCCCAGCGGGATCAGAGCTCAAGAGGCCTCTTAAACGAAAGTGGGTCCCCAAAAGGGTTGGTGTCCTGGTGAGTTGGCCCCCTGGATTTTGCCTCATGTCATTCAATGACATTGAACTCACATGTCACCAACTATTCATGTCTATCATCTCACGCAGAAGCCCACCATCCCGGGGCTCCCCTCGTGGATCGCCAACCATGTGCAATCCACTTATGACCCCCCTGGCGATGGGAACTGTGGTTACCGGTGTGTTGCACATCATTTGGCAGTGGTTTACCCCAATGGCCCCTATGGAAAACCAGATGGGTGGCATCAAGTGCGGACCGAACTCCTGGAGGAGCTTAATTCAAACAAACCCCTTTGGTCTGGGATCCTTGGAGGAGACGCGGGGGTTAAACTAGTTGGGGAATCACTCACCGTCGATCGTGAGGCAGGTTACGTCCCCTTGCACAAATGGATGAGTAACGTAGACATAGGACCATTACTCGCCAATCGGTACAATACGCCCGTCGTCTTCGTATCCACCACAGGGTCAATGACTTATCTCCCCACAACAAAGCCCCCCGGAAACCAGCCGACATGGCCGATATTCCTTGGTTTCATCAATGGTAACCATTGGATCCTGCTCCATCTGAAACGAGGTCTCATTCCATACCCTCCCGTATCGGGGCGGCCCAGGACCACTCGTGGAAAACCTATTGAACCCTGGTTGGAAACCATAAAGCCCTCCCTTGATCTCTACATCCAATCTCCTACAAAATGATCCCATCAGATCACTTTGTAGGAGATGTTCCGACTTTTGGACGCCAAAATGTTTTCCCAGAGACCACTCATTACTAATCTTATTCTTCTTGTCTTGTTTCCTCTCCTTCTGCTCTCCTTCTGCATATTTTGTTTGAGGTGAAATATCTTGCTTATGTTTCCACTGTTGATGCCCCTTCTGCTACTTGTGACTTCTTGTTTGACTCTCCTTTGGAATCATTCAATTTATCTCTTTATTAAGTGGTACTAGTCAGTTACCGTTAAGCTTTGTAACTAGCCTAGTATTTAATTTCCTCTTCTCTTTGCAGCGGAATTAATCCGCTGTCGTCCCTTACAATTGTAAGGAGCAGCTCTTCCAGTACTCTACTATAGTCACCTATGAGACGGGAGTTGACAACTATGACACGCGGGCTGACGGACAGCCCTGCCCACATATGTTATGCTCAAAACATCCCCCACTGGTTGAATTTGGTGTTAGTGATTTGGAAAGCGCCCCACATCTTATGATTCTCACCTCATCCCACATAATTGGGGTGCATGCCCTTGTATGCAACCATATAATACTGACAATCAGGTTTATATCTGATTGTGAACACTCAAACCTGAGTGACACATGTCAGGCACATTTTCAGAGTCAGTATTTATTGAGGATACATGACAGGAAACATTGAGAGACCCAGCCAACAAGCATGTCCACAAATGACACATATTCCCCCGGCGGAACTTGCCTCTGACCACATAGAGGGAAATTAACAGCAGTATCACGGTCTCACCCTAAATTAATAGCAGAAATTAATAGCAGAATCACATGGACCAGCAAAAAGCCCAAAAGAGGCAGACAAAAGAAGAGGACTATAATATCCAAAACAAGCCAGCACTCAGAGGAGAAAAAACATGCCAAAAGAAGCCTAAGCCACAACCATTCAAACCAACCGGTGGGCCAGTGCTATTTCAATATCTTGAGAAAAAATCCCAGCAATCACTGAAGGAGAAAATTCATTGTAGAAAGAAGCATGTACGTCTTTCCAATTAACCTGAGGGACACCATTGTTGTCCAACTGGTTGAAACCCATTTTAATCAGGAAATTCAGGAAGTGTATTCGAAGATTGTCCAATGTCGAATGAGGCATTGGGGTCGTGATTCCGAGGGCAATCTTCTGTTTGAGCACACTGGAGCCTAATTCCAACAAGGCGTTCGCGTTCGATAATGTCATGTGTGGGCCTTTGTGGAGTGACGTGAAAGCCGCTGTTGGGCCAAAGATCAAGAGGTTTGCAAGCATCTGCACATGTTTGAATCCATATTCATGTCTGCCGGTACTGGACTGGTTGTATTGCCCGACAAGAATTGGCTGAAGGTGGGGCAGGTCGTTCGAGGTGCGCCAATAGGATTTGGGAGGATGAAAAATTCACCTATTCTTGGGGCACGCGAGGGTGATTGATTTGGTGTTCGATTGTCTTTGGCCGCCTGGGGTTCTGGGGCCAGGTAAGATTCCGAACCAGTGGGGCCGGCGGGGGATTTGGCAGCTGGAAGATTGAATGAATGCACAGCTGTTTGAGGCCGCTCCTCACCGACAGGGGTTGCAGGTGACCTTTGGATGTTGGTGACCTCTGGACCACCCGTGTTATCCTCGTCATCAGAATTCTCGTAATCCGCCTTGATATCGTTGAGGAGCGCTTGAATGTGGCCCCACTCGTTTGGTTTCAAAGCCGGGTGGGCGGCCAATGCCTGGACTTTTTCGTAAAGATCCAAACCTGTGACATTTTTCAAGCAGACGTGTGAGATGGAAAGAACCCATGATGAAAACTACCAAGAGTTTAACTTACGTTCCAGGGTAGACATGGTCTACACAACCACAGGTAAAAGTCAGCATTGAATTGATTATGGCAAGGGTTAAAAAAATCAGAATACTTACACTTGACACTTGAGAGAGTAGGTGTGGGGGGTTGCAGTTTGTGTAGGAGGACTGCAAGGAAACCAAAACGAAAATCTCGAGCGGTTTGTAGGTCTATGGCGTGGATGCAAAACCAAAAAAAATAAGCCTCAGACTCAACCGGATTGCGCACCCATTAAAAATTACTCACAAGTTGTACGTAGGGCACTTTTTTTATTTGGATAAAAAAAGCGTCAGCATCATACCCTCACACATGGCTGGATAGCCCCCAGAAAAATCCCTTTGTGGCGTATTTTCCTGGCAGGAGACCCAAACGAAATTTACTCACAAGGCCTAGTTTCAGCCTTCTTTTTTATTGCCCCGGATTGGATTCTGATCAGAGCCGGTGCAATTCGAGGTTGGTTGGTCTTCTGGATTGAAAAAAAAGGGTCAGATTCATACCCTCATGGCTTGATAGCCCCCAAAAAAGGGCCCTTTTTGGCGGATTTTGGGGGCAAGTGACTGCAAAAGAAGAATAAATAAAAAAAAAAATATTACTTACTTTTTTTTCCGATGAGAGGCGGTGCAATTCGAGGTTGGTTGGTCTTCTGGATTGAAAAAAAAGGGTCAGATTCATACCCTCATGGCTTGATAGCCCCCAAAAAAGGGCCCTTTTTGGCGAATTTTTGGGGCAAGTGACTGCAAAAGAAGAATAAAAAAAACCAAAAAAAATATTACTTACTATTTTTTTCCACCAGGGTCAGAGACGGTCGGATCGGATCGGATCGGTCGGATCGGATCGGATCGGACCGGATCGGCGCCTGGGACGTGCGTGGGCTCCCTTGGGAGCTTTCGGGCCTGGAAACAGCCCTCGGTCGGTTTCGGTACGCGCTCGGTCGGGTCGGGAGGCGGCTGGTTTGCCTTCGGTTT